AAAAAAAAAAAAAAAAAAGCAAAGATTACCTAAAATGGGAAAACTCAATACTAGCCACAAAACAGTTAAAGAGTAAGAAGTTTAGCAATGTTATGAATGTATGAATGTTATGAATGTATGAATGTTAAGAAAGGTAATAACTTTCACTGCAATAATTCCACCTCTAAGAATCTTTCAAAAATATCAGAAATGATATTCATAAGTATTAGACTAGCAAAATATTTCAAATGCCAAGTGATAAAACAAATTGTATTTCCTATAATTATGTAAAATGAAATTTTATGAGAATTAAAACAATCATTTTTGAAGAATTTTGAATAAGTAAATACTCCAATATGATATTAGGAAATGTCCCAAAATATTGGACTATAGGATCTAAGATGACTTAAATATTTCTATGTATTTTCCATATTTAAAAAAATTTTCCAATGAATACATGTTATTTTTAAATTAGTTAAATCACAGATATTCTTATTTATAAAAAAGTGTTCTTATCTAAATAGCATCTGGCTCACCCTCTCCCAACTTGCCGCTAAGATATTTACAGGAAATCCTAAAAACTCACATCATGTGGAATCAACAAGAATCTGAGAGAAAATTCTCCAATCATATAATACTGGATGTAATAATTAAGGAAACAATGAATTAAGGTAAGGAGCTCAAAGGAAATAGAAATATTTAGGAGAGCTAGATCACCATAGATCTGAAATCTAGGGAACAGAGTGGAAGAGGAGGAAAAATTCTGGAGCTACACCAGGAGCCCAGGAAGGAAGCCTCATGATGAGATGAGCTTATCCCGGAAGCAGCTGCAGGGACTGATACCGCAGGATGTGAGGCGGGATGGCATCAGTGCGCTCTTCCCTTAGAGCAAGGAGGATGATTAATTACACTTAGATGGACAGTGAAGGTTTTGAGTTACTAATATCCTACTCTTGAAAGCCCAGTGGGAAAATAATACTTCCATAATCAGAAAAAAAATTTATTTTTATGATTAAGTGTGAAGGAGATGTGGGGATTGGTTGGGAAGTCTGAAAAGAGTTATGGGGATTTAAAATAGCTGCCATACTGTTACCAGGTGGTGGATTGTGGAATTCCTCATTTTTGTCTTCTTGAAGGAAATAATTCAGTTGAGAGACTTGACCAAAAGTTAAAGATGCAAAGTTTTGTTTTTTGTTTTTTAATTTAGCAAAGCAAAAGGAGAGTACAGTCCAGAGATAGGGGAGGGCTGACCCTCAGGGTGGGTAACAGCCCACCGAGTTTTGCACTGTGTTTTCTTTGGGGGTTTACTTGGTTTTCTTCCTCCCATTTTGCCGTCATCCCACCACCCTTTGGGTCTGCCCTAGTTCTTCCCCTCCAACATCTTTATGCATGCTTCTGTCTACCATCTTCACATAAGCACCTAAGCAAAACCCATGGTGGGGGAGAGCAAAACTGCAATGCAAATGATATTATAATACCCTTGGTAGACAAGATTTTCTTTAAGTGTGCATTCTCTAAAATTGAGAAAGTCCCTGTGACCCATATCTTTTGTCACTCTGTATTAAATCGCAAAAGGGGCTAAAGGGGACTGGTCTAAGCAAGCTGGGGTTGTCTCTGGGTGGAGACTACGACGTGGTCTGCCATCCTCCTTTCTCACCTCCTGCCCATGTCTATCTAACTGCCTACTTTAAAATAGGAAATAACTAGAGAAAAGAGATTATAGGTACACATACCATATATATACAGATGTAAACAGCAGTCAAGTTTTCAACTGAGCAAAAATTGCATATTACTGAAATTCCCATTGCAAGTCTTTTCTATATTCAAGATCTGAGCCCTTGAAAACTCAAGATTAATTAACTTTTTGCTTCCTTTTGGTTTGTCATCTCTGGTCTTTTTTTCCAAGAGGAGTAGAAGCCAAGGTCTGATTGGGATACAGGGAATAAGTAGGAGGAGTTTTTTTTTAATGCATCATTTCTCTTCTTTTGCTGGGCATATACAGTTGACTTTTTTAGGCACTTCTCTACAGAAATATTGCTAAGATAATACATATGTAGTTTTATAAGTCCAAGAGGTTATGTGATTATTTCTTTCAGCAATCTGGATAAAGCTGCAGAAAAAGGCAGATGTTTCACTTAAGGTTGAACACTTGTTTGTGGGACAAGTGCAAAGAAAGAAAAAGGAAACAGAGAAATCAGGAGTTCTGGTAATAGAGCTGCTGAAGAAATCAACCAGGGCATTCAGACAAGTGACAACAGAAGGACCTAAAAGATTTAGGAGAAAAACTGTAGGTAAATAGACAATGTAGTAGAAATAAGAGAACTAGCCATAAAAATAGGAAGTTGTGCCTAAGAATTAGATACTCCAATTAAAGATTTCAGAGGTAAATACATTACCGGTTAACATCACATTGGGAATAAGAAATATTCACATTAAAATTAGCAACAAAATAGTGATATTTGCCATCACTATTATTATTTAACATTGATTTCTGGAAGTCCTAAACAATGCACTGAATCATGAAATAGAAATGAGAGGTACAACTATTGGAAAGGGGAGAAAGAGGATATATTTAAATATAGTATTTTTGAATACCAAGAAAACAAAAGATAATGAACTAAAAAATAGAAATAAAAAAGTAAAACAGTAAAACCAAATGGCTGGATATAAGAAGTTTTCAAATATCAATTGCTTTCTCTCGTATCAGCAGGAAATTTAATGAAGCAATGTTAAAATTACCACAAAAAAGATATATTATCCTGAAATAATCCTAATGAGAAATACTTCAGATTTATAGGAAGTCCCATCCCCAGCTTTACAGAGATCCAAATAGTTGTTGAAAGAGAGAGAGGAAAGGGAAGGAGGGATGGGACAGGATGGGAAGTGAAGGAAAGGGAAGGGAGGAAGAAGGGAAATGAAGGAAGAGAGGAAGGAAGGAAAAGAAAAGCAAAGGGAGGGAAGGGAAGAGAGAAATAAAAGAGAGACCCAGCATACGTGGGGTGTATATTAAATCAAACCAAGCATTTGAGACAGGCAGGTAGGATAACGTCAGGTGCTAAGTTACATGCATATTCCATCACTACAGCTCTAAAATAGGTAAACTGAAATGTTAACCTTCCTAGTTGTTCGTATAGTCTTCAAGAGAACTACAAGTTTCCATGTCCTAAAGCTACCCATAACACTATCTCTTTCATATTTAAAATGTTTGTATCTTGAGTTGCATATCAAAAGAAATCAGTATACAGTTCATGCATTTATATTATAAACTGCTAATGTCACCTTTTTAAACATATCTGCTACTTATAATTATCTTCCTGTAGTTCCTTTGGAAGGACTAAGGAGTCAAAACCAGTTTGAAGAGATGAGATCAAGCTACATTAGAGAGCTCATCAAGGCAATTGGTTTAAGACAAAAAGGAGTTGTTTCTAGCTCACAGCGCTTCTACCAACTTACAAAACTTCTTGATAACTTGCATGATGTAAGTACTTTGTTTTCTATAATACCCAATGATTATTTTTTGAATTTCTATAACTTTTCCAATGTTAAGTCTAAATTTTACTTCATTTATTTTTCAAACTCATCTTTGTACATATATTTAAAAATATTATTTACACCACATTGCTCAAGGTTTATATTATGCTTTAAAAATTTTTCAATGTAGATCACCCAAATACCCTTTTATTAGTATAGGTATAACTTGAGGGTACTCTAATGGTTGATAGGAATTGTGATGCATTTTCCTGAATATGTTCTAAAATATTTATTCCTTAAGTTGGCAAGATCTAAATACAGTAAAAGCAAAGGTATGGACATAGAAAATAAGACTCTCATACCATTTTGGTTGGAATTATAAATTAGTAACAATGCTAATGGACAATATGGCCATACATAGCACAAAAGTTTAAAATTTGCATGCTTTTCAAATTTTCACTTTTTAGGATTTATCTGTAATAATTAGGCAAGTATTGAAGATATATATGCAAGGATGTTTATAGCAGTGTTGCTTATACAAGAGGGAAAAAAAAATTCCCCAAACCAAAACTGGGTTAATACAAGATACATGTGGCTAGTCAAGACATTGAATACAAGCTTTTATTGCTGCTTCAAAAACTACACTAAAAATGAAGGCAATGGATAAAAAAGCTACCTATTTACCAGATTAAATTTGAGATCCTACACCTGAATATGAATAAACGGCCAAGGATTATTAGCCATTTAGGGAAAGCCTCTAAAGTAAAAGGCAGAAAGCAAAATAAACAGAAAAAAAAATCTGGAAAATATACCAGTAAAAAAGAACAGAAGAAAGTGTCAAAAAATTAAGATATCCAGAAAAATAAAAATGATATGCATCCATGAAACAAGAATGGAAAACATTTAAAAGGAACAGCAAGAAAATACTTTAGGATAATAATATATAGAAAAGCAAAAATTAAAAATTCAATAGCAGGGTTGAAATATAAATCTCAGGAAAACCAGAAAAAAATAAAAAATATAAAGGTATGAAAAAATTAGAGGAGATGGCAAATTTAGAGGATTAATCCAATGAGTTCCATTCTCCAATTAATATGAATTTCCAGAAGAAAGAATACAGAAAATCCAAGAGAGGAAATTATGTAAGAAGTCATAAAAAAAAAAAAGTTGCTGGAACTGAAGGATTAGGTTTTCTGACTAAAAGGGCTCAGTGTAAATGCACAGCACAATTGAACAAGGCACATTATTGTCAAATTCCAGCATACCAGGAATAAAGAGAATATCCTAACATATATCAATGAGAAAAGAAACAATTCACATACAAATTATCAGCATTCAAAATGATGTTGGACTTGCCAATAACAGTACTGGAGTGCAGTAAACAGAAAATGATGCAGTAATGTCTTCAGAATTTTGAAAGAAAGGAGAATCTTCAAAGAATTTTATACTCAGCCAAATTACCAAACAATATGATGACATCATGAAAGTATTTTCAGACTTGCAAGGTTCATAGAGTATACCTCAAATGCAACCTTTTCTGAGAACATCTTCCAACAAAACACTGGAGTAAGCCAAAGAAGATCGAACCCAGGAGAGGTGCAAAGGGAAGTCCAGTACATTAACCTTGCTGAGCGATCAGTAGTCTAGATTGGATAAGTAATGCAGGGGGGTTTCAAGATACTAGTACCAGGAAGAAAAGATGGAACAGAGGGATTACCCAGTACATGTGAACATACTGAGGTGAGTTTTTACAATTTTGCCAGAATTTGACTTGGCTTTGTGATAAATATAGAGAAAACAAAGCAAACTGAATCAAGGTGATTAGCTCTAGCAAAATAAAAAGAAGTCATATAAGAAAAGAAATATAATCAGGTGGGAAACAATAAACATCTTTATAATATAAATGCTAGACATTAATTTAGCCAAAGATTGAGATACAACTATAAGAAGAATGGGGAGAAAAGAAAGTGTGTGTGGTTGGGGAGGGGGATGTATAGTATGAGAGAGGTAAATCCTCATTTTCCATAAGAGAACTTGATCAATAATGTCAAATTTAGAACACGAAACTTATTAGAAATACAGAGGTAAGTATTAAAAGACACAGGTTAAGCAGTTGAAAGTGGTTGCATCTGGGGAGCTGGAACAAGGATGGGAAGAACTATATCTGGAAACTGCTGGGTTTTGTCATTGGCTATTGTTTTTATTGCTGTCAAGTCTTGTGGTACTTTTGACTCTTCAAATAACATACATGAAATACTTGGACAAGAATTCAAATTAGATTTAAATGAACGTTTATATTGACATAGGAAGAGTCAATACATTGCTATATGAAAAATCTAGGTTAACACTCTATAAAATAATTGCATTTTTGGAAATACATATGTATGTATGCATATTGTATATATACCTCATATGTCTGTATACATGTATTTTAAAAAAACTTGAAAGAAATACACCAAAATGTTTGCATTGACTATCCCATGGTATAATGAATGACTTTCATTTCTTTGAATCTTTCCATACTATCAGAATGTTTCATCATGAGTAAGTAATATTTTACGTATTATTCTAGAGAGTGGAGGGAGTTATTTTCATTTTGGTATGAAGAAAACATCCTGACAAGTATTTATATTGTTGGAAAAATAAGCTGCCATGTGTGAAAAGCATATGAATTTATTATTTTTCTTACATGTTTCTTACTCATTTGTTAAATCGACAGCTTGTCAAACAACTTCATCTGTACTGCTTGAATACATTTATCCAGTCCCGGGCACTGAGTGTTGAATTTCCAGAAATGATGTCTGAAGTAATTGCTGCACAATTACCCAAGATCTTGGCAGGGATGGTGAAACCTCTTCTCTTTCACAAAAAATGAATGCCATTATTATCTTTGCAAAATTAAATATTGTGGTTTGTCTTGTTGTTTTGGTCAGGATTATGAGGTCCCAAGTTTTTATAATGTTCTTCTTAAAGCCTTACATTTATAACATATCATAGTGTGTAAATTTCAGAGAAAATTGTGAAGTTTTCATTTTTTTCCTTTATAAAGCATAATTAGAATTTTTAAAGTGTTTTGTGTAACCATATTTTCTTTAAGACTTTACAAGATTGAAAAAGTACTGAAATTGATTGTTAAACTTAGCCTTATCCATATTATTTCATACCATTTAGCTGAAGATTTTTAACTTTTGCATCTAAAAAATATTATACTTTGGAGGAAAAAAACTTACATGTAAAAAATGAAAACTTATTATATATGTTCCTTTTTAGGTCACTCCCTTTGTCTACTTGATTATATTTATAAAAATGAGCCTTTAATATGGTATGCAGAATTTTGTCTACAGGATTGTATATACATTTTTGTGAGGAAGAAATTCATAATCATCATTAGATTTTCCAAAGAGTTTTTAATACAAAAATTATAGAGAAAAAGTTAAAAATCCCTGAAATAGATTGGTGTCTCTCAAACTAGGAAAAATAGCTCATATGTTAAGACTGCTTCCTAGATTGGAAACACTTAACTCCAAAGAAGTTATTAAGCAGAGCCATATCATTATTATAACAGTATTATGGGTTTTGTCCTTTTTACTAACCTTTCTGGGGAATTGTCCTCTGATAAGGTATTGTGAATCAAAAAGTCAGAAGAGTCTAGGGACTAATTTCACTCCTTCCCATGTGGGACATGTGGAAAGTCACTTAATGTTGCCAATTTAACACTGGTGTAATAATACCATTCCTACAAATGTTCCTTTTGGTCAGAGCTTCTTATATACTTTTTCTGGAATCAAAAGAAAAAGGAAGAAAGGAAGGTAGGTTAAGGAGGAAAGAGAGGGAGGAGAAAAAAAGAATATTCTTCTGTTTCTTGACTCAGTGGGTCATAACAAATCACAGGTTGAAAATTTAATTCCTCTGATCCAGTTCCATGAGAGGTATTTCAGAAAATACTGGATACTGGCTTAAAATAATACAACCAATTACAGTAACTAGAAAACAACCAATTACAGTAACTAGAAAACACACATTTCACACCGCTATATGAACTGAAACTATTCCTTAGAAGACAGACATGAATTGTTTTCTGAGAGGAGTCATTTGGAGATTAATTTATTTTTAAAAGACATATATATACATATATCAGGGAAGAACCAAGTTCATATCATAGGCAAAATTCAATTAAAACTGATCTTTTCTAGATAAAGCCATTTATACCAAATTTAGGCATAATAAAGATACAATTTCTAACGGTTCAGAGAAGCTAGTAAACCAATTCTTTTCCTAAATTTCTTTAAAATTGGACATTATCTTACAAATAAAACATACCACCTTATGCAAATTAATAGTGACTTCTTAATGCATTTTTAATTACCCATTCCCTTCAACTGATAAATACTTTCAGTTTACTGAGGGACAATGACAGAATAATCTTAATGAGTACTAAGGTAGCCCTCAAAACAAGATAAAGTGGTTTGATCTGATAAAAAATTATCGTACTAATGTTACCATAACGTTTCTTGCCAAAAACTTCTTCAGTTTATAAAAATAATTAGCTGTGGAGTATCTTTAAATAGTGAATTCTTATAAGGCATTTGAAATAGGGATTAAAATAAGCTCCAACCAGGGTCTTTAGTTTGGGTTCACTGGATCTGTATGGCAAATATAATACATAATATACAAATTTTATAACATTGAGTTATAACATTTAATAAGAGTTTAACCCAAGTATTCCAAACAGTCTTAATATAAAAAGTCTTTTCCTTAGTATGTCTATATCTGCATGTCTTTTTTCTATGAATAATATATATTACAATAGACTGTTGACTGCTATTTAGTTTTTCAAAGTCTTTATACACACACAGACTCATTCTCTTTCCACTTTCCAGGCCAAAGTTAACTTCTTCTTCAAAAGAATCTAATTTTACCATTTACTCACTTTAAATTGTTTACTGACTTGCAGTTACTTATTGGGGTGATTCTCAACTATAGATGCACATTAGAGTCTCCAAGTGAGCTTTTCTAAAGTACCTTTACCTGGGCTCTCTCCTCACTGATTACGTGTTAATTGGTTCACTGTTCTTATTCACGCAGTCCCCTAGCAGTTACTCTGAAATGATGTTTAAACATTAGTTCCTGTAATTTTATTCTCTTATCTTCCGCTGTCATACATTCATCTTATGTTCCAGCCATGCAAGTCTTTTTACCAGCAATTTTATGCCTGAATTTACCCACTCCAATACCAGTCCCACTCACATCTCAACCTTCAAGACTCGTCAGACATCAGTCCTGTAATGTCTTCTCTGCTTCTTCCAGACAGCAATTTGCTTCCTCCTAAGGGTCACCAGGAATTTTGTGTACATCTGAATTACAGTAGTGCATTGTTCTACAGTTTTGACTCTAAGTCTGGGAGCTATATTAAGGTGCAAACAATACCATTTCTTGACTAGAAGTTGAATGGCATGTTCTCTTTTTTTTGTCAGCACCATGGATCTCTATCATTCTTTTGTTACATCAGCTGCATGTTTTTGTATGCATGAATGTATCACTTTCTCTTCCCATGGTCCCTATCTCCATGTTTATTTCTCTTCATCTCTCTTAAATTTTCCACCTTTTCTTGCTACTTTGTGAGATCTCTCCTTGCGCTGACTATGCCACAGGAGTATATAAGTACATTATATATTTAGCAAAAACAGCACTGTATGCTCCCTGTTCTTAACTGTAAAATCCAATGAATAGAACATTATTTCCCTAAGAAAAATACCACAAATACAATTGTTGCTTATATTTAAGTAGCCCTCAAATGTTATTATAACTTCAATATACAAATTTTCTTCATTTCTGATTTCATTCAACAAATATTTATTGAGTCCCTACTACTAGCACAAGAAAATGTAGTAAATACTATGAGAATTTAGAGCTGAAGGAAGATAAAACTCAAGAAGTTATAGGCCAGTAGTCTATATAAGCCACAGTGATTGATAAATAGTAGGGACTCAAATATTTGTTGAGTGTACAAATGGAATTATAGTTTGGATTTGATAGGTGCTAAGAATTATTTACATATAACTTTGCTGAGACAAGTGTAACACAAAATAAGATACTAACTTTAAATATCAAATAACTCCTTAGTTTACTCATGTCAGTAATTTGTTTGCATTAAATCTGTATGTACATTTGTTGAAAAAGCTTTAAATATCTTTTTCTGTACAAATGTCATACCCATAAATGCATTTTTAATTTCTCCTGTACACAATAGTTGAAGGAAATCTACCACCGTGGCAATAGTCCCTCTCTGAATGTCACATAATTTTGTCACATAATCTGTGGCAAAAGTAAATGAATATGGGTATGTCCAAATAACAAAAACAATGTCATTAGCCTATAACACTCAGTAGTCCCAGAGAATAGTTGATGATGTGACCATTTTATTATCTGATTCTTGTTACTTTGAATTAAAACAATATTTTGATGACACAAATCCTTTTCCACCCACACAGATTTAATTTCCAGTATAATCTAAACGCTTTTTGATTGTGCTCAGCTCCAGGGGAACAGACTATGGGGCCTGAAGGGTTTGGCTTTGTTGTGGTTATTGCTTTGCAACCTCACAAGAATGTTTGATATGTTTGATGTTGATTCTGATTCATAATGTAGATGTCTAAATACTAGGCTTTAGTATTTCAGGCTAAGTTTTGAAAAAAACAGAAACAAAGCATTTAAAAAAGAACATGACATCATCAAATAGAAGCTATCTAGTCTCTCAATCTTTCCCTCTATAAAATTCCTGCCTCCTAATGTCTCCATTCCTATGTAGTCATCATAACCTTTATCTTCATTCTATGGGTCATGCTCTTGCTGGTAGCTCTACAGTGCAATTAAATCATAAGAAAACAGGTTATATATCGGAAAATAGTTTTTTACTGAAATAGATGGAGTCAAAAAAACTTCCCTTAAAAAGGTTTGAGAAGCCATTTGAATCGGGGGAGTTATACCTCTAGTATCAATTGTTATGTAACAGATTTTTGGGGTTGTTGAAAGCATGGCACTTTTTAATTAGGCAATGCTATTACTTTTCATATTTAACATTAAAATAATTCATTGTTACAGATAATATACAAATGTTAGACAATATATTTTCTGCCAAAACAATGCCTTTTTAATAGCCATAGCATGCCAAGCTGTAACTTCTACATCCTCCACAGCTGCAGGGGGGTAGCTGATGATGGGTGTTGTGGAAGGAGCCTAGCCATACCTGGGTCCCATTTCTCTGCCGTTAAGGCTGGAATAGCTTGAACAAGTCATCAAAGTTCTTTCATTAAACCTGATTTTTCCCAGTTGTTTTGTAGCTAATCAAGTGAAAACAAAAAAGTGTACAGGTGCTCCAAAATAGTATGTGCTGTTTTTATGTTTTTAGTAAGCCATAGTTCTGTCTATGATTTCGTCAAATTAATCTGGTATATTCTTTAATGAAACCCAGGAATCTAGAACATGCTTATCCTCACTGACCAGTCATGTAATGACTTTAATGAAAAGGCTATCACTTGGACTGTGCGGCTTCACTGTAATTTCCTTACTGAAGGTGTGGCGAAAAGGACAGTCTCTGTCTCCATCTAAGACCTGCCATCCATCCATTTAATATTCTGTTATGCCATACCTGATTTTCCAAAAATTAAATAAAAAGCAGTAAAATAAATGGTGAGTCCTATTATGGGATCCAGACCAACCTGGATTGATCTATATCCATAATATGAGTTTGTAATATTAACTGGACCTAAATAATTATAACTGTGTTCAGGTTGAATCACATCCCTATTTAATTAAACTCAGGAAAAAGCCCTACTAAGACCATTATTTACCTGGGGCTAATTGAGCCTGTACCTCCAGAGATAGGCCTAACACAAAGTTGCCTTATAAAATTGAAAATATGAAGCCAAGAGTAGTTTCCTTTAATAATTTGTCCTTCCTGTCACTGGAGATGATTGCAGTATTTTGGGGAGGTTGGTGGTAAGTTAAATAGCAGAAGTTCATAGTAGCAGTGATATAATGCACATTATCTAAATATCCTATAGCAAAGCAAAGAAAAACCTGAAGGGCTCTGTTCCCCTTCTTGGAGCTGATCATTTTCCAAGGCAGAGCTCCAGGCACATGCCTGGAGGCTG